CAGTTTTATTTTTGTCTTTTTTCGCTCTATTTCTATTTATATTACCATCATCGCAGAATCCAAGATTAATTTATCTATTATAGCTATCACCTTTGTCATGAGCCATTTCTTTATTCTTCTTCTTTTTAGCACCATCATCAAGATTATTTTCAATAGTTTTATCATTTGTCACTGCTAGGTTCTTGACTTTGATCTTTTTTAATTCGTCTGATTCATTACTATCTATCGTATTAATTACAATATATGTAATGTTTTTATTTACACCTTATACGTAGCCTAACTGTACAAGTATTACAGTTAGGCTACTTATTACTCGTTACTTAAAAACAAAATGATCAACATAGAAAATTTCCTAATTTACTACCCCTATAAATTTTCTCTTAGATGGTGATATTTGATCAACTGCGGCTTATCACACCAACCAATTACATTTCATATAGACATTGTATAAACCAATAGAAACTTTAGAAAACACATAATAATGACAAAATGTCGCCATTAATTAGATGCCGATTTTTAAAAATCGCCAAACTGATCGACAACCACACCAAACATATCCAAAAAAGGAAATAAAAAATCATTCTTAAAAAAACATTCTATGCAGATTAATTTTCGTGCTTCTAAACATGCTTTACGCTTCTAAGTAAACTTAAAGAGACACTTTTGTTCTGTTAGGCTGTAAATTTTCAGAATGATTAGATCGATATTCATCGAGATATAACGATTTCTTTTTTCATTTCGTTTCTTTCTTTGCAGATCCTTATTATACAGATTCGCGACGATCGTATTTAGCTCATACTTAAAAATTTTATTAGTGAAATATACAAAATCATTCTAACAAACTATAAGTTTTTTTGTTAGATGAACAACTTTTATTATTGACTCAAAGTCGATTCACATAATAAAATTTATCGTAAAACACGATTTTTAGTTTGATAGCTTTTTTCTATCTTTTTGTATAAACCGTTTTTATTAAATTTGACCATAACAGATAAACTAAATATATTGTATGATAGTAAATTTAGTACAGATGACTTTGAAGAATTCGTATATAAAAAAATCATTTTTTAATCATTCTTAAAATTTTTATTAACGAACAATTTTTATTATCGACTTAAAGTCAATTTACATAATAATAATATTTTTCATAAACCATGTTTTTTAGTTTGGCGGCCTTTTTACAAGAACTATTTTTATTAAATTTGATCTACATTTTTTTTTTTTTCACAACTTAAAAGCATCCCACAGGTAAGAAAACAACGTTTTCATAGTATTACTTGTGGGATGCAGAGCTACTGATTTGATTGACTAAAATTACTATGTTATAAAAAAAAAGTAAATTTTTTATTTTGTCTAGGCTAGACAAAACAGTGTGATCTGATTGGTCAATGATACTGTTGACCAATCAAAACACACCATTTTGTCTAGGTTAATTAAAGTTGACCAATCAGATCACACCGTTTTGTCTAGGCTCGCTGCGCAAAAATGTCTAGACCGAAAAATTGACTAATCAGATCATACCGTTTTGTCTAGGCCAAAAAAGGAATACTGATTTTGTCTAGGCCGAAAAAGGAAATTTTAAATGTATTTTTTTTTATGTTTTATTTGATTAGTTACTATTTTATTTGAAATTGAAAGAGTTCTAAAACACCAAGAATTCTCAGTGTCAGAATAAAACTACTATATTTGCTTAAATTAAAAACAGAAGAATTCTCAAATACCAATACAATAATTTGAATTTGTCATTCGAATTACTGATTGGTGCTTGAAAAATTGATCATCTGTATTTTTTTTTATAAATTGTTAAGAAATTTTGGTTAAGCATACTTTACAAAATTCTATAATTAAAAAAAAAACAAATATCTCAAATTTACCGTACA